ATTTTTTGGCCTTGGAAAATCTTTAGATGTGTAGAATCACGTAGGCTTGCTTCATGGAGTCCCACCTCCATGAAGGCCACTGAGGTCCATACTGGCAATGTAAGCTCGCTTTGTGCTGTGTACTCTAATGTTTTATTAAAAAAGAAGGAAAAAAAATGAGTGGCAACTTCTTCCCAGCTCTTTTTGGTGATGGTTTTGCCATTTACTGTCAGTGATGACCTTGGGCAAATGACTTCATCTCATTTTAAATAGCTGTGTAGAGGGAGCCCAGGTTGTGGCATCCACAGCAAGCTCTACCACCAACCCAAATGCCATGTCTCTCTAGGTGTGACTAAAATGCATTGGTGGCTCTGAGGCAGAAAGATTGGCAGTGTCTTTTCATGGGATTTACAGCAGACCCAGCCCCCAAAGGACGGCTAAGTCAGTTCTGTCTCAACAGCAATGAGAGAGAGAAAATGGACAGTGAGATCAGTGACTTGACAGGGCTCTGAGAACACGGTGCATGCTGCCACCATTAATGTGACTATCTTATGGGGGAAGAAACTGATTTGTCAATGGCCGTGTCCTCCGTTCCCAAAAGAGTCTGACACATCAGTAGTGCTCCGCCATTTGTTGCATGAACCTCTAGAGGTGATGTGGAAAAATATTTCCTCTGTTCATTAGATTCTGTTTCCTCTTGTTCCTTTTAGAAGATCAAGTGTATGGTGCTAAAGACATGGTGTTCTTCCCACTCATCTGCCGGGATGCTCTTTAGGGTGCAGTGAATGACCCTTGCAGCCAGTCCTTAGAGAGCTCTGGTGACATAGTCCATAAGGAATTGTGCTGCTAACCCAAAGGTTGGGCCTCTGCGGCAGTTCAAACCCAGTCCACAGAAGGAGGATGGGTAATTGCCCCCTGCAATTTACAGCTGGAGTGTCAGCTGAGTCCACTCCAGCTTGATGGCAATGAGACTGCGCCAGTCTTTATGACTCCCAGCAAATGACAGCTGATGTTACGATGCAAATGAGTTGTGAACCAAGGTGACCAGATAGCTAGTAAATAAGGTACACAGCAGCCTTGTGGAGGTAAAAAACCAAACCCAAACTCACTGCCTTTGAGCTGGATCTGACTCGGTGACCCTCCTTCGGGATTTGGAGGCTGCCAGTCGGCAGACTGCCATCGTTCCCCTGCAGAGCCACGGGTGTTTCTGACAGACCGAGCTGAGCAGCTCTGGATTAGCAGTGTACATTGTCAGACCACGCTGCTCAACTGTGTCAAGTGAGAACTGACTCATAGCTGACCCTCTGACTCATAGCTGACCCTCCAGGGGGTTCTCAGAAGATATTAAATGTATAGGTTATTGAGTCTTTACATGATACGCTTGTTGTGTACCATCAAGTCAGAGCCAACCCACATATGACACCCCCCCCCAGGGGGTTTTCAGAGGATATGAAGTACACGGGGGAATATTATCCATCCTCTCCCACAGAACAGCTGGTGGATTCAAACCATGTGCCTTTTGGGATTCTCCATCAGTGCCAGGCCATGCTCTTCTTAATTGCTTACTATGCATCTGAGAGCTGGCAATGAGTAAAGATGACAGAATTGTTGCCTTTGAGTTGTGGTACTGGAGGAGTACTGAACATACCATGGACTGCTAAGAGAACCAAGAGGTGAGTCCTGAAGAAGGTGAAACTAGGTTTCACCTTGGAGGCCTGGATTTTGAAACTCCATCCGACATACTTTAGGCATAATGTCAGGAAGGCCCAGTCCAAGGACTTCATGTTCAAAGGGTGGAGGGTCCGCCCAGGAGAGGAAGACTCTGGATGGGCTGGATTGACACTGTGACTATGGCAATGGGGGCAAGGTGTGTCAGAGATAATGAGGTTGGCTCAGGACAGGGCAAGTTTAAGAGTTACAGGGTTGCTATGAGTCGTAGTCCACTCAATGGCACTTAAAAAAACTGCACAAGGAGGCTGCCCATCATTCTCCCTTGCAGCTACTTGTGGGTCGGAACCACCAGAGGCACCATTTATGGGTCAGCAGTGCAACTCCTAGAGACTGCACCAGGGCCACACCAAGGTGTATGGAACCCTAACAAGGGGATTGGTCAGTTTTGTAATCCTGCTAGACTTAAAAGAGGGCCAATTCAGAGTTCCTCAGGACCAAGAAAGAGAAGTCTGGTGTAGAGGACTTGTTTGGATCCAGATCCCTGTGCTGAGAGTGTCTTAGAGACTGAGAGCTGTCTACTAAGATGGAGAAAACCAACAATAGAACCAGAAGCCAATGTGGTGGGCTTTCAGGCCCATGGAACATGGTAACAGAGCACCTTTGGATAGGAGGCTTACTAGCGGAGTGCCTCTGAGCACTTACTGGCAGAGCTGAAAGCTTTGTAACATTTGCCTGAGCAGGACAGAGCGAAGGGGCTGAAAGAAACCTACCTACACATACATCCGAGAGGCTTTCCTGATTGAAAAACTGTAACCCTCCTGAGTAAGATCAGTGAGTTCTGTGTGCCAACAAATTACTGAGCCTTGCACATGAGGCCCGGCACACCCAACCTAGAGAGGACCAGCCATAGAGTGGAGACTGGTAGTGTGAGCCACAGAGTGGAGTCTAGAAGTGCCTCAGGCCTCTTCTAACCTCAACTGTCCTGTTGATGGTGCCCACAGTTCTAGAACCTTCACCTCTGAGCTACCAATTAAGTTCCTGCCACTCTTGACCCCTTGAGTGTAGAGCCTTCACAGGGACAATCATTCTCATTGTCTGTCCTTAAACCCTCGGGAACAGACTCCAAACACCTCATTTATGTCCCAAGTCTTTTTTTCATTATCCTCAAGGAGCCTGTAAGGTCCTAACCTCAACACTCCCCATCATGTGCAATGACCTTCTGGCACCAACCTGCCAAGACACCTTCACAATCAGGGATTTGAGGATTCAGTAAGAATTGTGGGGAGTGGGAATCTGTGCCCTAACATAATCCAGGGGTCTCAGGTGGAACATTATTTGACTTGCCAAAGGGAGAAGAGTGAGACTGCTAAGGATCTCCCACTTGTCTTCACAGAGACCATGCAGAGAACTCTCTGCAAGGATGAAGGGTGCCTTCACAGCACCCCAAAGAGGGGTGACCAGTAGGAAGGCCCTTGCCTGGTGCTAACCTCTGAAGAAAGACTCTACACACAGTTTTATAATCAGAAACTTACAGTTTATTTTTAATAAACCACTCAACTTTGAGCAGATGACATTACCTCAGTTATGTTCTTTGAAGAAAAACAAAGAAATATGGTAAATTCATGGAAACACTGTGCCTTCCTTTGTCTTCTAACCTTTAGAGGGCAGAAAAATTCTGCCTGACCTTTTCCATCTCCCTGACTTTAATAAAGGACAGTCACTGGAGGCACAAAAAGCAGCTCTCCACAGGTCAAGGGCTGCAGGCTGGGCACAGAATCCCCTGCAGCTCCAGTGGTCAGGGTCCTAAGTAGACGCAAGTGCAATACATGGCACGGCTGCGTGGCAGCTGGGCAGTTAGGAAGCAGCTCTGCATTCCAGAAAATACCCAGGGCATTACTTAGCTACAACTCAGGTCCTTGGATCATGGCGGGTCCATGGAAAGGACAGGAGAGAGATGAAGTCTCCAGACACCAGGATCCTCCATGTGTGAACACAGCTTTCACACCCCACTCACAGCTTCGGCAACAGGCGCTCTCCTTGTTCACAACGAACTCCCCACTGACTGTTCCTGGCTTTGTGTACCACATTCCTAATCTGTTCTCCCACCCACACCACAGTCCCCTCCTTTGTTGGTTGAGGACGACAGGAAGAGAAAACCTGAGATGGGAGAAAGGGGCTCTGGAGCCAGCCACATACCCCAGGACACAAGAGTCACAGCTGTCCTGACTTCAAGGGTGACACAGTTTCACAGCTTACATGGTACCTGGGAATCGCTGACTGGACGTGAACGTATGACTAACAAAGAATTTCTAACAATGGTCACAAATCTCCCTATTAGTTCTAATGGGAGACCAAGGAGATCCTGCTTTCAGCACAGGATAGCTCTGCTGCTCTCTGAGTGAAGAAGCCACACAGAGACCACAGATCTGACTTAAAAGGCCCAGAGATCCAGGTTGGGACAGGTAAAATTCTAAGTAAACCACTGGCTCCTTTGAGCTCAACTATGCCTCAAAAGCTAGCCATTTCATCACTGCCTATTCCTTACAGAACAGGAGTGGAGACTACAGGCCAAGGCATCGCCTAGTCACAGAATTCCACCCAGAGGTGTATCCTCACAGGGGGACAATCAGGTGAGGAGCACATACAGAGCAACCATCAGATATACTCCAGGTGATGTGAAACATGGCCTCTGAGCCTGGACGGCCAGTGCCCCTGAGAGGACCTTGCTGAACTCTGACCACGATATAGTCACCAGGGGAAGATGCAGCAGGACAGTACCAGGTGGAGGACCCTGGTCAGTTACCACCACTGGAACACTGGCACAAAAGAAGGTATCAATATAAAAGAAATTTCATTTGGGGAAAAATTCCTTTCGAAAGTTGAATGTCTATGTTTAAAAGACAAAAGGAAATACTGCGTGGAACCTGCGCTCCTCAGCCTCAGTAGCCAGGCCTGGGTAAGCCTCACTTTGAAGAATAAAGATGAGTCTGTAGACATGCCTCGTCACCAGAAAGATCACCCATGTCAAGAAAATGCCATCATGTCCTGTCTCCTCATTGTCTTCTCACAGAAGGGTCTATGACGGAGGCATGATGTGATGCTGCACTTCACGCCCATCGTGTAAGTCAACTCCTCACCAGCCTTGGCCAAGTCTTCCCTTGGAACTCCAACTGTGGACAGATACATGTGACTCTGGAAATCAGAGGCCACAGAGGCCTTTCTGCAGGACATTCTGTGGCAGGTGGGCGGGAGCAAATGTTATGTTCTAAGTAAAATAGCTAGAGGGGAAACACTCCAATGCCAATTTATTTTTTAAAAGGCTTTTTGTTATTCTATGTTCTTTTTCCTTCTTTTTTGTATAATGGTACAACCTTTGAAAATTACATAAGTTGTAATGATCTAATACTATTAAAAGCCATTCAGAAAAAAACTGCCCCTCCCTCCCAACAACCATCCAGGGGAATTTAAAATCCTGAACAGAAACCAATTCACTATGGCTTCTACCCTGGTGGAAACAAAAAGCAAAAAGATGAGAAGAAAACAGAAATCAACTACGAGGTGTGTTGCCAGTGTTTCTCAGGAGCAGGCCCTGGCTGTGGCCTGGGGCTGTGAAAGTCAGAGCCGCATGCGGTGTGGCAGCTAGATCTCTCAGCTACATCTTCCTCACCCCAGCATGTCCACGTCCTGACCTAGGTGTCATGAAAATCCTTCAGCAGGGTTCTCCTCCGCTGCTCTGCTATGTGCATCTGATTTTCCAAGTCCTGTACCAGGGAAGAAAGATGGAGGTTTGTATGGTCCAGTCAGGATTAAGAAGCAGAGCCAAAGCCAGGCTCACTATATCAGGGTGTTTAGAGGGTTCAAAAGCAGTGCCCTCCCGCTGTGCAGGCCACATGCCACTACTGTCCCCTGTTACCATGCCATTCTGCCCTAGCCTGCAATCCAGAAGCCAGGAGAATTGCAGGCACTTACCCCTCTGTCATAGCTGTCTGCACGTTCCACTTTCCAGGACAAATTTTCTATCTCAGCCTCCAGTTGAGCCTGCTGGTATTCAAACTGTATGGGCAGAGCAGGAAAATCAAAAGGAGAAAAGGTTGTAGCCTGTAGGCAGAGGGATAGCACAGCACCTTAGACCTCAGACCAGCTACAGAAAATGCTAATAATGCTGTGCAAAGCATAGGGTGGTGTTATGCCCTGGGTCAAGAGCTAGAATCCAGGCTAAGGGCTAACCAGGGAATATGGCCAGAGGGGGAAGAATTTAAGCCACCAAAGAGAAATTGTTCCAATATAGAGGGAAATATGTTGCAATACAAATCATTACAAGTATTATCTCCATTCAGAAGACATACCTTTCACATAATCAGCCCTTCCATAAATCTGTAAATCAAGAGTCTTAAGAATATACAAACTAGGGAGCTCTGGTGGCCTAGTGGCAAGAAGCTGCACTGCAATCCCAGAGGTACACGGTTCAAATACAACAGATGCTCTGCTGGAGAAGGAGGAGCAATCTCCTCCTGTATCAGTCAGACCAGATCTGTTTCACTTAATAATTCTACATCTAGGAATTGCACTTAAAGAGATAGAGCTTTATGTTCAAAGATGTGCCTTAATTCTCAGTTATAATCTTGAAAAAACAGAAAATAATGTTCCAAATAATATTTACGCAGCATCTTAAAAAAGTCCCGGTCTTGGTGACAGTTATACATACATATATAAAATGTTATTGTTGTTGTTATGTGCCATCAAGTCGTTTGCGACTCATAGCAACCCTATGTACAACAGCCCTAAACCCTGCTCTATCCTGTGCCAATCGCATTGCCTCTGACACACCCATCCCTATTACCCAAGTCACTGAATCAATCCACCTCATAGAAGGTCTTCCCCTCCTGCGCTGTCCCTCTCCAAGGACCTGTCTCTCCTTACAACATGTCCAAAGTATGTCAGACGAAGCCCCAGAATCCTTGCCTCCAAGGAGTAGCCTGGTTTAACCCTCTCTAGGATGAATCTGTTTGTTTTCTTGGAAGTCCATGGTACATTCAATACTCTTCTCCAGCACCACAGCTCAAAGGCATCAATTCTCCTTCTATCCTCCCTAGTCATTGTCCAACTCTCTGATGAATAACAAGTGATTGCAAAAACCATGGCCTGTATCAGGCGGACCTTAGTCTCCAGAGAGACACCGTTGCTCTTGAGTACTTTAGATAGGTCCCTAAAAGCAGACTTTCCCATCACAATACGTTTTTTTATTTCCTGGCTGCTGGTGCCAAGAGTATTGACCGTGGAGCCGAGCAAACTGAAGCTGTAAACAATCTCAATCTCTTCGCCATCCATCCTGATGCTACTGATTGGTCCAGTGGTGAGAATCTTTGTCTTCTTGACATTGAGCCTCAGTCCATATTGAAGGCTGCAGTCCTTGACCCTCTGCAATAAGTGCATGAGGTCCTCCTCAGTTTCAGCAAGAAGGGTTGTGTCATCCGCATAATGCAGATTGTTGATAGATCTTCCACCAATCCTAACGCCACGCTTCTCCTCATAGAGCCCAGCCTCCCGGATAATCTGCTCTGCATACAGGTTGAAAAGGTATGGAGACAGGACACATACCTGGCATACACCCTTCCCAATTTTGAACCATTCAGTGTTGCCCTGCTCTGTTCTGACGACTGCCTCTTGGTCCAAGTATAGGTTTCGCATTAGCACAAAACATGATAACATATATAACATAATAAAATGTTATACATACAATAATATCAATAGTAATAATTCATAAAGGGATAAAAAATACTAAGAGTGGTCATTTTTGGTGACGATTATGGATGATGCAAATACCTTTTTGTGCTTCCCAACATTTAACCAGTAAAAATGATTTACTTTACAATTGAGGGAAATAGCTCATGTATAAAATGCAGGATTAAGGCTCTTCCTTTTCCTGTGAGCGGCTTCAGGTAATCTGCCAACATGGTTCGCTACTCGCTTGACCCGGAAAACCCCCAAAAATCATGCAAATCAAGAGGCTCAAATCTCCGGGTCCATTTTAAGAACACCCGAAAAACTGCCCAGGCCATCAAGGGTATGCATATCCGGAAAGCCACCAAGTATCTGAAAGATGTCACTTTGCAAAAGCAGTGCAAAAGCCCTTCCGACGATACAACGGTGGAGTTGGTAGATGTGCCCAGGCCAAACAGTGGGGTTGGACACAGGGTCAGTGGCCCAAAAAGAGTGCTGAGTTTTTGCTGCATATGCTTAAAAACGCCAAAAGTAATGCTGAACTTAAGGGTTTAGATGTTGATTCTCTGGTCATTGAGCATATCCAGGTGAACAAAGCTCCAAGATGCGCCGCAGCATGCACAGAGCTCATGGTCGAATTAACCCCTACATGAGCTCCCCCTGCCATACTGAGATGATCCTTACTGAAAAGGAACAGATTGTTCCTAAACCAGAAGAGGAGGTTGCCCAGAAGAAACTGAAGAAACAAAAACTTATGGCTCGAGAATAAATAAGTCATCAAATAAAATTAAAACTTTAAAGCTGAAAAAAATAAAAAAAAAATGCAGGATTAAACCAAGATCAACTTAGAAACTATGTGTCTGAAGTCCTCCCAAAGCTGGACACCTGGCTACCAAGTGACCACAGAACTTTTCAGGCTTCGGAGCCAACTTCACCCTCAGTCACTCTTTAAATATGGTCACTGAGAAATGAAACAGAGTTGAGAACCCAGAAATAAATCCACCCATCTATGAATAACTGACCTTTGACAAATAGATGAAATCTATTAAGTGGGGAAAGGATAACCTCTTTAACAAATGGTGCTGGCACAACTGAGTACCAATTTACAGAAAAATGGAACCAAGATTCATGCCTCATGCCATACAAAAAAAAATGAACTTAAAATAATCAAAGAACTAGGCACAAAATCTCAAACTTTATCAAAGGAAAAGTGGGACAAATCTAGGAGGTCCAATCAATGACATACATGGACAACTGAATATAGCTTAACATGTGAGGATAAACTAGTCGACTGCGATCTCCTGATTTCTCAAAAAAGTAAAAAGAAAACCTACAGACTGGGAAAAAATATTTGGCAATGATATATCTGATGAGGTACTCATCTCTAAAATTACAGAAAACTCCAATATACCAGTAGCAAAAGGTCAAATACCCTAGTCACAAAATGGGCAAAGAATAGGAATGGACATTTCACCAAATAAGACATTGATTCAGATGACCAATAAACACCTGAAGAAATGCCTGCTCAAGACCATTAACTACTGTTATTGTTATGTATTGCCATGTTGAAAGGGACTTATAGCTAACCCTCCAGCGAGTTTTCAGCAGCTGTAAATCATATCAGAGTAGACTGCTGACCTTTCTCCTCAGGGATCTGAACCTCCTATCTCTGGGCTGGCAGCGTTACTCCTTACCACTAAGCCACTGTTGTTGAGTACCATCAAATCAGAAGCAAACCACAGCTGAACCTCCAGTGTGTTTTCAGAGGCAGTAAATGTATGGGAGATTGCCCATCTTTCTCCTGCAGAGGAGCTGGTGGATTTGAACTGTGTGCCTTAGGGACTGTACCAATGTTTCTTACTACCTGGCCACCAGAGCTCTCTACTAACTCACTTCTTGTTATGGACCATAGAATCGGAACTGAGCCATAGCTGAGCCTCTGGCAGGTTTTTAGAGGCAGTTAATTGCACAGGAGGAGAATGCCATCCTTCTCCCATGGAGCAGTGGTAGCCTCCGACTGCTGAGACTACAGCCCAGCTTCTTACTATTAGACCACCAGAGTTCTCTAATAGTTATTAGAGAGATACAAATCAAAACAAGGTATCATCTCATCCTGCCCAGAACAGAAGTAAGGTATCAAACAAGTGCTCAGAAGGATGTGAAGAGATTGGAATGCTCATACACTAATGGTGGGAATATGTAAAATGATACAATCATTATGGAAAACATTTTGGTGCTTCTTAAAAAAGCTGGAAAAAGAAATAACATTTGATCCAGCAATCTCAATAGTTAAGTACGTATCTCTAAAAATGAGAGTTACAACATAAACTGACACCCATGTTTACGGCAACATTATTTATAAAAGCAAAGAACTGGAACAATGCACATTTCCATCAATGGACAAATGGCTAAGGAAACTAAAGTGCACTCACACAATGGAGTACTATGGGTCAGAGAAACAGTATCGACAATTCATGAAATACTGCCCAGAAGAGAGGAATCTAGAACTATTATGCTGAATGACATAAGTTAGTCACAAAAGGATAATTATGGAATAAGACTACTACAAAACACTAAGGAAAAGTTTACACACAAAATCTACTTTGGAGGGTTCAAAGGAATGAGAAGGGAAGGAGAGGAGAATAAAAACAAGTTGGGTAAAGAGAAAGGCAATATACAATAAGGGATTGACACTAATTAATTACATTAATCAATTGTAATTACTGTTAGGAGACAAATCTCTAAGAATAAATGATTTAAAAAAATCAGTATTATTTGTAAACTTTCATTCAAATAAAATTAATAAATTAAAAATAATAAATATTCAGAGGCTGAGGTCAATTTCTCTTATGACAGAAAATGGCAGCACTGAGATTTATTCTGGCTATCTCCACAGTAAGAGTGGACATTTTTGTTTCAATTGTATCCTCCCAATGACATACTTCACTGGGAAAGTCTGCAATCAGGAACCTCTCCCAAAATATTGAGCAACAATGTCACCCTGAGGACTTAGGTGTGCCTGATTCAGACCATGGTCTTTTTAATCACAAGCCATGCATCTGAAAGCTGGATAATGAATAAAGGTGATGGAGGAAGAATTGATGTCTTTTGGCTTGTAGTGTTGGAGAAGAGTGCTGAATATCCCATGGACTAATAAAAGAACAAATATATCTTGGAGAAGAAGGTGCAGCCAGAGTGCTTGTTTTAGAGACAAAGATAATAAAGTTTCATCTCACATAATTCTGGCATGCCACTAGGAGATGCTATTCCCTGGAAAGGGCTATCATGCTTGGAAAGGTGGAGGAGTCACTGAAGGAGCGGAAGACCCTCAACCAGACAGACTGACACTGTGACTGCTGTAATAGGCTTGAGTGTGTCAGAAATTGCTTTCCTGCAAAGCAACACTGAAAGGGCAGCTCTGGGAGCTGCAAAAGCAGAGAAGAGGGGTTGCTCCTTACCAGTTTCTTCCTGGGCCCAGATTCCATGTAGTATGCGTACGGGTATGTATATTGCAAGGTATAGCGACACTGCAAAAAAAGAAGAGGATCGTGTAACTGTAATTCACATAGATCTCACGTGGTGTCTGTAATTCTTCACCAAGCAGGCATGGCTCAGTATGCATGACTGTAAAAAAAAATTAAGTCAAGTCAGAGAGGATGCACTAAGGAAAGACAATGGGATAATTGAAAGAAAACAGACACCACTACCTGACTGTCAGTTTACCTGACTGTGGTGGCTTATGTGTTGTGATGGTGGAAGCTATGACATCAGTATTTGAAATATCAGCTGAATCATCACAGTCAGATTTCAATATAATTTCAAGACTAAGGTAAGATTCAATGTTTACTAATGTAGCAAGAGACAAAATGAGGAGAAACAGCTATAAACATCCATTTATAATTGGAACATGGAATGTATAAAGTATGAATCTAGAAAAATTAGAATAAAAAAATGAAACACAAAAGTATTCTTAAAAAAACCAAAGCACCACAACAAAACCACCACAAAAATGAAATACAATGCATAAAGACCTACATTCTAAACATTAGTGAGCTTAAATGAATTGGTAGGATGTTTTGAATCAGACAGTCACATGATTTACTATGCAAGAATGACAAACTCAAGAGGAATGGTATGGCATTAAATGTCAAAAAAGAAATTTTGGGGGGAATGGAGAAGGGAGAAAAGTGCAACAATGAATGAATGGAAATCCAAAGTCTCTATACATTTTTACTAAAATTAATAAAGAATTTTTTTTAAAAGTGTATTTACAGCATACACACACACACACAATTTTTCAACATCTTTCCTAAAGTACAATGCGGTATCAGCGGTAGAATAACATCAATAACCATACAAGTAAGACCTTTTAAGACAACTATTATTCAAATAGATATATCATGCACTAGAGCCAAAAATGAAGAAATTGAGAATCTCATTCAACTACTTCAGTCTCAAGTTGATAAAAAAATACAATCTAAACACAATGATAATTGATGACTGAAATGCAGGAAGTTGGAAAAAAAAGATGTAGTACCTATTAGTTGAAAAATATGGCCTTGGTGACAGAAATGAGGTTGGAGAATGTATGTATGACAGAATTTTGTACAATAAATGACTTACTGAAAATACTTTTTTTACAAAACAGGAACAGTGACTATAAATGTGGATCTCATGAAACAAAATATACAGGAATAGAAATGACTGCACCTACAGAAACAGACAGTGAGAAAAGCATAATATTATCATTCTAACCAAGGCCAGGGGCTGACTATGGCTATAACCATGACATAATAAGTCATGCAAGTTAAAACTGAAATTGAAGAAAATGAAAATAAGCCCACAAGAACCAAAACACGACCTTGCACCTGAATTTAAAAACCATTTTAAGAATAGACACTGAACACTAAGGACCATACACCAGATGAATTGTGGAATGACATCAAGAATATGGACCATGAAGAAAGCAAAAAAAGTCATTATAAAGATAAGAAGAAAAACAAGACTGAAATGGATACCAGAAGAGCCTCTGAACATTGCACCAGAATGCAGAAAGCCCTAAGCAAAGGGAAGATATACTGAAGTAAAAGAGACGAACTCAAGATTTCAAAGGGGGCAGCTCAAAGAAACAAAGAGAACTACTATAATGAAATGTACGAAGAACTAGAGTTAGAAAATAAAAATAGAAGAACATGGTCAGCATTTTTCAAGCTGAAAGAACTGAAGAACAAATTCAAACCTCGAATTTCAATACTGAAGAATTCTATGAGCAAAATATTGAACAATGCAGGACACATCAAAAGAAGATGGAAGGAATATACAAGAAATCACAGTACCAAAAAGAACTAGCTGATACTGAAACATTTCAGAAAGAAGCATAAGATCAAGAACCAATATTAATCAAAGAAGAAATTCATGTTTCAAAAAACAGATGCGGCCCTGGATATGCTCACAAGTTTATGCTGAGAAATTTAGCAACTGGCTGGAAGATACTCATGACCATTTTAAAAAAGGTCACCGAAAGAATGCAGAAATTAACAATAAAAGCTTGCTGAAGATCATTTAAAAAAAAAGCTGGAGCAATTCATAGAAAGGGAACTACCAGAATTTCAAGCTGGATTCAGAAGCAGCAATGGAACAAATAATAACTAATGTTTGACAGATCTTGGCTAAAAGCAAAGAATACCAGAGAGAGGTTTACTTGTCGTTTACTGACTATGCAAAGGCATTCAACTGTGTGGAATAGATTACAGATAACTTTGCGAAGAACAGGAATTCCCAAACTGTACCCTTGAGAAACCTAGGCGTAGATCAGTCATTTGAACAGCCCAAGAGGCATGCATGGTTTAAAATGAGGAAAGGTATGCATCATAATTGAATTCTTTTTCCATATCTATTAAATTTACATGCTGAGAAAATAATCTGAAAAGCTGGACTACATGATGAAGAATGTGACATCATGATTAGAGAAAGATGCATCAACAACTTATGCAGATGACACAACCGTGCTTACAGAAAGTAAAGAGGACTTAAAATACTTATGAAAAAGATCAAAGAGTAGTCTATATGTATTATACCTCAAGAAAACAAAAATCCTCATGATTGGCCCAAGAGGCAGCATCATGATAGATGGAGAAAAGATAGACGTTGTCAAGGATTTCAATTTGATCTGGTTCTACACTCAATACCCATGAAGTAGTGAAAAAGTCAAAATATGTGTTCCTTTGAACAAATATGCTCTCAAGGATTTTTAAAATGTAAGAGAGCAAAGACGTCAGATTTCTTTAAAGCATGAAAGAGCAATGCTGTCAATTTATTTTTTAATAACTAAATCATTTATTAACTCACTAAACAGAAGCTACAAATCCTATGACAAAAGCAGAGATGCACATATAAAAGCAGCCTGCAGAGTAAGTAAAATAAAGAAGCAGTGCCATCTGGGGAATTTAAAATGGCAAGAGGCACAATAAAAACAACAACAATAAACCTACACCCAAAATTGACCCTCTAGAAAATTAAATCACAACACAAAGCTATCTAAGTCTATGCCTAGGGATATACTCATTTTTAAATATAATTTTCTTGAGAATATACACAAGGAAACATACACCGTTTCAATATTTCTACTGGTATATTTAGTGATACTGATTGAATTTTTCTAATTTTACCATAATTCTCATAATCCTTTTTTTAAAAAAAAGTTACTCTTCTCCATTATTAGCATAAATTCACCGCCCCTTAAAATCCCTTTTGAGTTGATGTTGTCATTTTACTTCCATAGTTAGTTCTGAAAAGAGCTTAATGCTCAAGGTAAACACTTTTTCACTAGTTAAAATAAACTGTTGTTCAAATGTTAATAAACTTTACACAGTAAATAGTAAAAAAAAAGATAAACTTTCATTTTAGGAATATTTTAGGAGTTATTTTGGTTTACAATTTAAAGTTTAAATATTATCTCAGAATGATAGTTTCAGAGTTTGAGCCAATCTTCATCGCTTTAGGGAGTCTGGAATCCATATGAGTTTTATACTCTGTTCTGCATTTTACCCCTTTGATCAGGATTTCGATATGAAATCTTTGGTCAAAATGTTTGGTAGTGGTAGCTAAATATCCAGTTCTTCTGGTTTCTTGCAAAGGAGGCAGTTGTTTACAGAGGACACTGGACACAATTAGAATTCCTTATCTTTCTGTTCTTGACTCTGTTTTCCTATACTGTTTCAGGCAGACAGAGATCAATTAATTAATTAATTAATGCTGTCCATTTAAAGGCCTGATCCAAGCCATGATAATTTTAATTTCTTTGTGTACATATGAAACTTGGACAATGAATAAAAAAGATTAAAACAAAGTCTTTGGACCTTTGAGTCATTATGAGAAAAACACTGAACACACTATGGACTAGTGCCAAAAGAACAAACAAATATCTGTCTTGAAGGAAGTACAACTTAGAGGCAAAAATGGTGAAACTTTGGAAAGGTGGAGGGAAAGAGGAAGACCTTCAACAAGATGTATTGACAGTGACATTAACAGAGCTGCACGGCAGAGATTGTGAGGATGATACAGAATAGAGGTTAAGGTCTCCACAGGTTCTTCATACAGTCATCATGATGAGTGTCACAGTTGACTCAATGTCATTTAACAAGAACATAGGCTGGTCCTGAATAAAATTCGGTCATGTTAAAGATGATGAGCTAGGGGAAAGACAAAAGCAAAAATGAAATAAAATAGCCACAGAACACTCTTTTGAAAAACTGCAATTACCAGCAGCTGTCTCAGTGGTTCTTCCCTCTCAAGTTGAGCTCAACCCTAGATCAACATTTGTCCTGTTTTCTTGTGGGTGAGGCATGAATAGAGATAAAAAAGAAGTAAAGGGCTCTTAGATTTTCCTGCATTTCCTTCCCTGAGGGAAGAGAAAACTGCAGAGTTATTTTCTTCTGGGAAATCCCCCATATATACAGCAGAGGGCTGGTCCTTAGTGATGTGATCCAAGTAAAGGTAGACTCATAACCAGGAACACATAGGGCTGTCAAGCAGCCAGAACACCCTCCTTGGAGGTCTGGGCTTGACAGGACCAGGAATTCAGTGGAGGGTGGTAGAATGTTGTGCTTCATACCTTGGCTAAGAGCTTGGCAGCATTCTGTAGGTACTGCCAGTCAATCCATGTCCCCAAGTTGTTCATGACCCTCTCCTGAATCTTCTCATGAATTCTCTGATATGTCTGTGCCTCCAGCTGCAAACTTTTGTTGTGGTTTTCCCACTGCAGGATAAAAGACAAAGATTAAAAACTTGTAGAGTGCAGGTTCACACAACAGATTAGCACAGATCTAACTATCTCCGAGGGCTGCTGCCTTCCTGCCTGATCATTCCTCTGGGCAATAGAATTCTGTTACTAAGGACTAAGCAAAGTTAGACATCCACCTTTTTACTGTGTTTAGAAAGTGTATGCTCTTTGGGCTTCTGAAGGGTTTTGCTAGAAGGAAATGCCCCCTCAATTTATGGTACAGGATAGAAAACTATCTGATAATCTATCTTCCAACCATGGTTAGCACCAGGTCCTTCCTTGCTAGTTTTGACTATCCTGGACAGGCTGAAAGCCTGATTTAAGGAAGCAGCACCTTAGTTTATTGTGGGAACCCTGGGTACCAGTCACTATGAATCCCAGCCCACTGGTCAGCTGGAGTAGCCCAAGCTAGAGGAGCAATTGCAGGAGAGGAAACCTACTCTCTCAAAGTAGAACAAATATTTCTTGAGGGCCTCCCTGGCCTGAGCCTGCTGGCTCTGGTTGACGATGTCAGGATTCTCCTTGTACCGACTGCACTCGTAGTATTCACTGCCATGGGTCTTCCAATCTCCTAGACACATCCAGCAGAAGTCTGCGCAGAACAAAGCATCATTTACTGTAATACCTTAGGATTACTTGTATAGGTGGTAGAACTATATAACAAGGTAAGGGATGGGGAGATTGATTGTGGAGAACACTGGGACTTGTCAGGCACTTACAAACGTGGTCCCTATTATAGGGGTGTGACTTTTTCAATCCTCTTTAAACTGTGTGCCATATTCATAGATTTAAATATATTTCCCTCCAAACATACATGCACAGAGTGAAGACTCCATAAAAAGAAATCTATTGCTATTTATGGTCTGTCTTTAGTCTACACTGCTCTTGTCTAAGACGGTGCCATGCTGACCTGCTTTTACAAGTTTCTTGGGAGAGCAAATAAATACCATTAGCAAGGACATATTTTTATGGCCTCCTGGTCACTGTTAAGCAGCTGTGTAGGACATATAATTGAATACATTCTCTACTTGGAAGAAATGTGTTTCTTCACTTGGTCTGGCAAAAACAAAGATTCTATTTGTGCTTGACCTGTTTCTGACTGTGATATAAAAAGGATAAATCAAAGCTTTCTGAAAACTTTATAAACTCTCAAAGAAAACAAACCGTTTTATTACCACTAGCAAAACAATGTACAACCTGCTTTAACAAGCTGTAAAGTAAGTAGCAAGATATGGCCATGCTACTTACCTGTCTTGGCAAAAAGAACTTTTAAAATGTACATTAAAATCTTTGAGATGACTGAAGAATCATGAAGCTCTAAAGTAATACCAAACCTGGCTTCTGACTATGGGCCTTCAGCAGAACAGCAGTGAGATTATGAAAAAAAAAAATGAATGAATGAATGACTTAACAACAACAACAAAAAGAGCTGTTTTATGGCACATTACGGCTGTAAGTGCCTAGGGCCCTCTATGTTTTGTCATGTCTCTATAGGAGTACTCACTAAACCAGCAATGGAGACCCCAAACCCACGAAACATAGAGTGTGACACTGGGCCTTGAGCACCACACCTGGGACTCACCGTGTTTACACTTGGAGCATTGCTGTCAGAGGAAAACAGAAAAGAACATGTTAATGACACGCTGATCGAAGGCTACACACACACATGCAGAATGTACAGGCATGTGTACTCACCATGTGATTGCAGCCTCCGTTCTTCTCAATGCAGATGTTACACTTGGGACACTGAGGAGACAGAAGGGCGCCATTAGGCTCACACACGATCAGGCTGGTTCTAAGACAAATTACACAAAGCTCCTGGCACCCGTGCCCAGTAGCTCATCGTGCGAGCACCTCTGGGGGAGGACCATCTCACTTAAATGTGGCAGGTCGCTGAGGCTGGAACAGTAATTCAAGGAAATGAGGTCAGCAAGTTTGGCTTTGAAACACTCGAAGCACTAGCTGAGCCCTGCTAAGTCTTCCAACATCTGTCCCTGCCCAAAGTCACTCAGATTAAGCACAGGTCTAGTGAGTAGAAAGCCTCCCTACTTGGGAAAACTGCCAAAGAAAGTACAAGAGCTCCACTCTTAATTGAGTCTTGGTCAGCTTGCCTGGACTTCTACTCCAAAAGATAGGAAGAAAACAGCCTGGAAAGCTTGCTCTCATTTGAGAGACATTAGCCACTTCAGGCAGTGATGCAAAGACCAGCCTGATGTCATACTCTCCTACTGTCATCAGGACAATTATGTTTAGTAATTCTCCATCATCATGGTACTCCATACAGAAATGCCTTGGATCAAGTAACTCATTTCACTAGAAATGAATGGAAGCAATGGCCTATGCTAATGGTTTTCACCAGTTTTAACACTTTCTCTATTACCCTGAAGCAGTTAGCTTGACAGAACAATGCAATAGCCTTGTGAAAGACCTAATTATGATTCTAACTAGGTGCAGATAACTTGCTGAGTTGGGGCAATGTTCTACAGCAGGCAACAGATACTTGAAACTAGCATTCAAAATTTTCCCCACAGCCAGGATTCATGGGTCTAGGAATCAAGGTATGGACATGGGAGTGGCCCCACTCATTGTTACCTGCAAACTTTCTGCCTCCTATCCCCAAGACTCTATGTTGTGCAGGTCTTGATGTCTTAGTTCTAAAGGGAGAAAGGCCTCCACCAGGAGACAATACTGATTCCACTGAACTGCAAGTTAAAAATGGCACTTGGCCACTTTGGACTCACGCCTCTAGATCAACAGGAAAAGAAAGGAGTTACTCTACAGGCTAGTGTGACTTGTCAGGATTAAGGGAAAACAGAACTGATTTTACATAAAGGAGGTAAAGAAGAGTATGTCTGGAATACAGGAGATTGTATAGGACATCTCTTAGTACATCTGTGCTCTGTAATTAAAATTAATTGAAAACTACTGCAACTCAACAGGACTACTAATAAATTAAACCCTCAAGAACAGAGGTTTGGGTCATATGTCAAGAACCACAAACAGCTGAGGCATTTGCTGAGAGAAAAGGGTATAAAGAATGGGTGGTAGAAGGTGGCAATCCTAAATACCTGGCCTGTTGCAGAATCAAGGACTGTAATTATTAGAATTTCTTCTTTGTTTTGTTATACATGTATATGCATAAGTATGCATGTACATGAGAATGAGAAAGCAAGTACTTTTGTGTTCCTCCCTCCCTTATTCCATTACTTACACAAGGTAAGATGGAAAAGTGGCATGTGTTTTTTCAGTTGTATGCATGTTAGCTATATAACTATATAATGTTTGGTACAAACTTGCCTTTATAACTATCTTCATTCAGAGAGTGTGTATGCTTTAAGATGACAAGCAAAAGGCACCAACAAGGGACAACTGCACTGTTAAGGTTCTGTGTCAGCTTGGCCAGGCCATGCCTCTCAGTGGGTTAGCAGATATTATGCATTGACCCCAGTATTCTGTGATCTGACATGAGCTGTCAATCACATACAAAGGAGTTTCCTTGCAGAGTGTGGTATACATGCAACATTAATGGCCATTTCAGCCAAGTTCACTCTCTCTCAAAACTGCATTTAACTTTTCTGACTTTTGGTTTCTAAAACATGAGCCAAACAGCCTGATGCTTAACCTGCAGATTGTGGGATTTGCTACCTTCCAACCTATGTGCTAGTAGCCTTCTTCCTAATTGGACACTTTTGGGTTTGTCAGACCCTGAAATCACACGAGTCAGGAGAGGCCTCCAGCATGATGCCTGACTCACAGATTAGGAACTTGCCAGGTTCTACAACTACATGTGTTATTTCTTGAAAATAAATCTCTTTACATACATTTTTCTGCTTTTGCTTTACTAGAGAACCTAGATTAAGAAAATGATGTCATGGTCACAGCTGTACTGATGAGTGCACCGACTACGCACATGGTAGAACAACTGGATTCTTCGTTGTCCAGGACTCACGAGACCACAAGCCTTACTTCTCATAGGAAGCTTCAGCATACGAACTGGGCAGGCCTGGGCTTCCATTCCATTCCATTGCTATTTATCACCTGTGACTATTATCTATCTACCTGATTCCCAAGGATGTTAAATCCTAGCAGGCATTCAATAGACTAGCTTTTCTTTGCTTAATGCTTCTTTGCATCAACCTTTTCCACATATTTCAATGTTTTGTTAAAATATATGCACCCAAATCTAAATTCTGCTACAATAAACCTCCACAAATCCTGCCAAGTGGAGGGAAAGATTGGCAGTTTCCAGCAAGGGCACCAGGCCCTGAGGGTCCTGCAGTCAGGTGGTACATCTCCTGGGCAAGGCCGTGGGCAGCTCTAAGGGCAGATCCATGACAGGTAAGATACGGTCCTTACATCTTTAGTGTGAGCACTAATGTAGTTGGCCGTTTCAGAGTCGTCTGCACACTTCGTGAGCCATTTCCGGATTGTGGCGCAGTCTGTGGGGGCGTGATACATCTGACGACACTTGAAACTTAAAATCAGAAAAGAAAAACATTCAAATACTTAGTCAGGTCAGGGTCTCATGTTTTCAATTTTCTTTGGCCAAGAACTGATCTTGAACTAGAGTTGTTCAAAGACAGAGGCAGGTTTTTGAGACCTTTACTTACCTAGAATTACATGGAAATATTATGTGAATTTCTCTCAAATAAAAGGTTTCTACTTTAAATATCTTGTGTCATGTCAATGCTTCTAGAAAAGATGTCCAACACAGAACTCAACCTTTCATGGGGCATGGTATGGTGCTCTATGAAGGATGCCATGGCTCAGATCCTAAGTCAAGCCTGGAATCTACTTCTCACCTGCCAGCCACACATGCACACATCAGAATCTGTGCAATAAGGGGCCATAATATACTTGATCACCTTGAAATTTAGCCTATGGAGTCAATCTTTTATGCTTTTAATTTCCTTTATAACCAAGTCACCAGAACTCCAGATAATAAGGGCCTTTAAACATATAAACACATCCAGGGACAGGAATACATAATGTAGGACATGAAGGATGGAAAAGAAATATATCAGTGACTCTTAACCTTTGGTAGGCCATGCATGTACTCCCTCAATATCTTAAAAGGCTGACACATGTATACCCATACACACATTTCCATGTAGTTTCTCAGGAATCCTACCAGAATCTTCCAGGGAGGCAAGATTAGGACAACGTATCTTGACCTAAACCATGACTGTCTTTAGTCATGATTTAGTCTTGATTTCTTCAAATATAAAACAAAGGTAACAAAAGTTAAAATCCTCCATCAACATGATAACATAGTTAAAGGGACTAGGATAACGCCTATCACCTGGGAAGCCTTCAGTTAAAACCTTAGCAATTCTCAACATACTGACTGACTGGATGGGTTAAATTAACATGAACCATTCAGCTAGTTCCTTCTGTAAAAGGATTATCCTAGCTCCTAAATACTGAAAACAGAAAGAGCAAAGATAAATTAAATGGATCTAATTTTAGTCAACAGGCATTCATCAATCTCCCAGCCTCTCTTCCTATACTCCCTATGGTGACAACACAGGGAAGCAAAATGTTAACTGCAAGTATCCTGTGCCACTACTGCTTTTTTTTAAAGTAGAAATATTTGGTTCTTTTTAATCAGCTATTGATGGTATAATACAATTAATTTCAGTGACACCTAATTTAAACACTTAAGATAGTTCAATGAAGGATAATCTACTCCGTGGTGTCAGAAAACATTGTAGGTATAGAGTCATCCCTACCACTCTCTCCACAAACAGCTCAGCAACTCCTCCTCCAGGAAAACCTGCGGCTCACCTCCTTTGGAAAGTCTTTCTTCGCCATTTTCTCCCCAAGCCTTTCACCAGGAAGGCACTCCTTCCTATTTTCCTCTTTATTCTGCATGCCACCCTTTCCAGGTTATGTGCAGTTTATTTGCTTACTAGTCTAAGTACCAACACTTGTTCACCTAAGACACCTGGCACTGATAGTGGTGAATACTTTCCTGGTGTATACCAATCATTTCCTACTACCATTTAAAAGAGGGAAGCAACAATGATTTTCTTTCAATTTAACAAATAAAAAGTTAAAATGTAACAACTTTTTTTAAAGCAGAAGTGTTGCTAAGGAAAATGCCAAATATTAAAACAAGCACTCATCCAGCTCTCAGTTTCTCCTCTTTTAATAATATATTATTTATGTAATACAAAAATTCTTCAAGGGAGCTCTGGTGGCCTAGTAGCAAGAAGCTGCACGGCAATTCCAGAGGTGCACGGTTCAAATCCACCAGATGCTCTCCTGGAGGAGAAGGGGCACTCTCCTCCTGTACCAGTCAGATCCGATTTGATGGTACATGCACAAAAAATAATAAAATAAAAGAAATATTAAAAAGTTCTTCAAATGCCACACTGTTTAACAGACAAGTCCACTAAAAGCAAACAGTTCTGCTTTTCCATTCAAGCTTGATGCAGAAAGGATTATGATAAACATAAGGCTCTACAACTGCTTTGGAAGGTGACCCTATCAGTCTCTTCCCTTATGGAGCAAAGAAAAAGAAAATCAAAGACACATGGAAACAATTAGGCCACAGTACTAGTGGAACTCTCAAACTTCAAACTCCATAACCTTGAGACTAGAAGAAATAAGATGGTGCCAAGCTACCATTGCTGAACACTCTGAAGGGGATCACAATGGAAGGACTGGACACAGTGGGACACATTAGGGAAGAAAACTCAAAATCCTAAAAATGGCCAGGCTCACCAATCTGAAAGAGCAGTCAAGCCCCCAAAACTATGGTCCTCAGTCACCCTTTGAGGCTGGAACAGAACTCACCTCCGTGGTTCAACCTTCAGCTAAACAACAGCCAGGCCAACAAGGGTAAAAATAATACCTGGGGAAAACTCAGTCTTTAGAACTATCAACCATACATGATCAAACAGGTAGCTTCTGTCCAGGGATAAAACTCATAAGGCAGGATAAACATAAGGACGAACAGAACGAAGAATCACAGGAAGGAAATGGATACAGGGCTGTTACAACGCGAAGACTCTAACAGCCATAAAATAAAATGTGTATGAATGCTTGAACAGAAAACCAATCTGCTCTATGAACTTACACTCAAATCACAATAAAAAAGTTTAACAAGTAAGAACTTGATGCTCTAATCTGCTGTGACTACCTGCCCAGCCTCAGGTCACCTAACAATTTGCCTCCTCATTTCATGCTCGATCAGCGGGAAACTGCAGAGCTTGACAGGAACATAAAAGTAAGAACAAACTCAAGGCGACATTAAAATGCCTGTATTTCATCACATTTTTATATGGGGAAAAAAATGACTACCCCATCTACTCTACAGTTCTGACATAATAACCACATTGTACATAGTTTTGGAATCTTTATACCAAAGAGCTCAGATGGTGTAATGCATAATATATTGATTGAGCTGCTAACTGTTGCCAATTTGAATCCCCCAGCTGTTCCACAGGGGAAAGGCAGGGAGTTTCCCCTTATAAAGATTTACAGCCTCAGATACATAATGTAGAGCTGCCATGAGTCTGGACCAACTTGACAGCAGAGGGTTTGTTGTTTATATAAAGACAGGAGTCCCTGGGTGGTGCAAACAGTTAAGTGCTCAACTACTAGCTGAACTCTGCTTCTGTCAGGTGGCCCTGTGACCCACGATATTGTACCATGAGTTGGAATCAATTTTAATAGCACCTAGCAACAACAGACAGAAGAAAGCTCTTTTGTATGTTCCTTTGTAGTTTTCCCTTTCAAAATCCTGATGGCCTTAGCGTTTTGGCTAGCAAACTAATTTAGTGACAAGTTTATGTAGTTTTTATTTTCTTTTTTTAAGTCTATGTAGTTTAGAGACAAGTGCTTATAGATTTCCCTCCCCCCTTGTTGTGTACCATCAAATCAGATCCGACTAGCACAAGATATCATCCCTCGTTTAGCAGAGCATCTGGTGGATTCGAACTGCATGCCTTTAGGATTGCAGTGCAGCTTCTTACCACTAGGCCACCAGAGCTCCCCTACCTACAGGTTTTGAATGTTGCTTTCTCACTGTTAAGTCTATAAACCTTTATAAAGAAAAAAAATATATATATAAAGAAGATCAATCTTGGTGTTTAATGAATAAATGAATGAATGGTGTGCAATATATGAATGAAAATCCAACTTATCTCTAAACTTTTATAAAAATCACAATTTATCAGTTCGAATCCACCAGATAGATGCTCTGCTGGAGAAGGAGGAACAATCTCCTCCTGTATCAGTCAGATCTGATTTGACGGTACACACAAAAATAATGAAATAAAATAAATTTTTAAAAAAAAGGGAAAAAATCACAATTTTTAAAAAAAGTCATGGTGTTTTTTGGCCATTCTTTTAACATTGTTCATTAATTTTTCAACTACAACGAACCTATCTTAGAAATCAGACTTGGTGAGCTCTGGTGGCCTAGTGGCAAGACACTGCACTGCAATCCCAGAGGTGTGCGGTTCAAATCCACCAGATGCTTTGCTGGAAAAGGAGGAACAATCTCCTCCTGTACCAGCCAAATCTGATTTGACGGCACGCACGCACACACACACACACACACACACACACACACAATTTTTTAAAAAAAGAAAGAAATCAGAGTTAAACTTTGCATTAGGTAGAATCTGCTTATATATTATAATCTAAAAAAAATTAGCCTGAGTGTAGTGGGAAAAGGCAAGGAGGGAAAATGTGCAACAAGAAATGAAAATCCAACCTTTCTGTAAACTTTCATGAAAATCACAATTTAGAGAAATAATTTTAAAAATTAGCCTAAATCAGGATAAAGATAAAACATTATAGCTCTTCAGACATTTATCTGTTCACAGAGATACATATTGTATACATATCCACACAGATCCACACAATTTCTAAGCCATGAATTTTACTAGCATAAATTATCACACATTATCCCAAAATCTGTGACACTTCCTCGTCGCCAGACCAAACATGCATTAAACACCTTGAGCAACATAATATGAGCACAAACCTTCTTCTTTAGAGTAAAGCTGCTCTTCTGGCTCAGAGACCCTGCCTCTCAAAGACCCTCCTTCATAAAGGGCAGCAGCAAGAGAGCTGTTTAGGAGGATGGTGTAGGAATCTAGGGCTGCTCTGTACTCACACCACTCACTCTTACCAAAAGACCTCGTTGCATCGATTGCACTGTACTCGGCGAGCTCTGGGCTCCTGTACACGGATGACCATGGGGCAGTCTGCACCAGGGCATAACTGAAGCTGGTAATGACTCTGTGAACACACCAAAGGGAAATAATGAGGACATCTACTCTTCACTGCTTCCACATTAGGCTCCCTGGAATAATATACATACAGTTCTAGTTAATGACAGATCAAGGAGTATGGGAATTCAGAAAAGATGTCATCAAGATCAGACAGCCAAATTTAACAAGAATTTGTGAATAATTAGCCTCAAACTAAGTAGCAACTCACTAAAACTCTGATAAACTAAGATTAGGTTCTAAAATGGGATAACTGTGTATTATCTGTGATGACAGTACATATGGACCAGGTTGGAAAAGAACAGATCCCATTCAAGTGTGCACAAGACAACTGTGGGGGGTTCAATAGATTTTAGGAATCAACCAAAAGCAGCAAATGGGATAAATAACAAGGTTTTGTTTGCCCTGTAGCTTGTGCACAAAAAGACACAGACCAGTAATCAATCTATAAGCTTAGGTATAAAAGAAAAATGACAACAATGTAATATGAAAACAACCAGTTTAAACAGGTAGAACAAGACTGGAAGGACTCTAAAACTAACCATGCTAGGATCGTTAGTAAGTTTTCAAATTGCTCAAGAAGCAATAGCACTTGCTGAATCATATAGTGAACAAAATTAGGCACCAATACCTGACTGTATATCCTTGATATTAATACCTTATTTAACTGTGGAAATGCCTGTCCAATACATAGAAGAGGCTTAGAGATCAGGCAGGACACTGGGATTTAGACTTTCTGACTCAGGGGCCCGTGTTTTTCACTAAATGTGAGCTCTTTTCTCAAATGATTACATATAACCGCAGCAATTCTGATAAAAGGAAGATACAAGGAGTCAACACATCAGGTCATACCTCCACATAGTCCCTGAAGAGGTAGCGTCTGTATTTATCTCTTAGTTCTTCATTAGGCAGCAATGGAAACACAAAGTCCTCTGGTGTTCGGAGTGGACAATCCTGAGCCATACAAGAGACCCCTATTGAATAAAGATAACCTAATGACCAACCATATTGCAGGAGATAATTCTTAACAACAATCAACAAGTAAAATTCTAGTTCTTTATATTGTTTAACCCAATAGAAATTATTCAAAGAGAGGGAAATGAACATATGTGCAAAGTGCTGCAACTTAAAACATGACCTCAAATTTCATATATATCACTAACAGCACTGCAAAAAATCCTATACGGTTCTTGACTAGCAATAGTTTTGTGATGTTTAATAGTATGTGCAACTGATCATCACCAACACTGAGTTTTTACAGATACCAATTTATGTGATGTTCATTTGGTTTCAATGGCATCAAGTTACAATGTTAATAAATGTTCCTGTAATTATCAAATTTGAATTATGCTGTTACCTAAATGACAACAAAAAGTATTTCTCATCTACAGCTGCCACTCAGGGATCAACACAGGGTAGGCAGCTTAAGGGAACAGTTTTCTGAAAAAATCTAAAGAATGTAGTTTGTGCTCAAACTAACATAAGTGCCCAACAATATCCTTATGGTTCTTATTTTGCTGAGGACAGTGGAAAACTTTGCCAATATTCAAACTGGTATATTTCAGAACCACAATCAGGGTCAGAATAAAACACTCAGTTTAAGTTAGTACTTGAAAAGGCATAGTAGACGATAAATACTTCAGCAAAGTCTGTAGCAGACTCACCCACGCCCACGCCGTCCTTGACAAGTACTGAACAGTGCTGTTCCCAGCAGCTGCGGCAAAACTGGTGCTGACAAGCCAGAGAGAGTAGGTTTTCCTTCCGCACAAACTGCATACACACTGCGCAGTGGTGAGGGGGATGGGCTGCAGGGACCTGAGGAGAGGCACAGCCACATGAGCCAGCAGGTCGCAGGCCACAGGTTTGCCTCAAGTAGCTAGAAACATGGGAAGGGATCCTAACCCTGCAACAAATGCCAGAGCTCAATGGCCTTGTGTAGATTTTGTAAATTCCAAAAGCACTGAGCAGAGGGTATACCAGGAAGGCCACCTGAAGGCAGTGACATGTGAGTAGGGCTTGAAAAATCACTATGATTCAGAAAAGCAGAAAGGTGGCAGAAAAATGAAAATTAGTGTACACTAGTTTATGAAGCCACCCTGAAAAGGTCAGAATTCCCAAATTACCAGTGTCCTTAGAGGTCATTCAAGGAGCCCTTTGTGGCACAGTGGTTAGCATGCTAAATTAAAGACTAGATGAACTTCACCAGTCACTCCACAAGAGAAAAGAAACTGCAATCCACTTTCATAAGAATTATAGCCTTGGAAACCTTCTGAGGCAAATCTGCTCTGTCCTGAAGGGTCACTATCAGTCAGAATTGACTTAAGGTCAAAAATTTTTTCTTTAAAAGAAAAAAGAATGAGGTCACTTAGACCAGGTTTTATTCTTTAGAGGTTATTTGTAGAATGCCACACTCAGTATATTAAAGATTAATACCTGAAAAAGCACAACAAACAATCACATTTTTAGAGGCCATATCTACAGAGGTTCTAGCAGTCCACATTGCAGTTGTCAAGGACAGTGGTTTCTCCATGTAGGTAAACTAAAATTAAAAAAATTAAGTTTTACCTAGTTACAATTTAACATAATGAAAAAATATCAGACATTTCATTCAGCAGGTGACAGAACACTTCTATGAGTAAGGAAACTCTTCTAGAGAAATGTGGTCAAATTCCAGAATCCATGACTTGGTACACAAAATGGCAAAAGATGTCGGGGACCACAGCCAAAACCACAAACCAACGGAAAAATCCACTGTAAGTTTACATTAGGTTTTTGTTAGCACACTGGGAATAAAATCCCCCACTAATTTGAGGAAAAGCACTGTATTCTCCGGTTTATCCATGATGCTTTTGGAAACTCTTTTCCTAAGAGACTGCAGAAGTTATGTGGTAATCTCTGACCTCGATTTTCCCTTCTAAAAATTTCAATATGGTCTTCATTCATTAAAAAAATGTCTGGTGGGCTCCTAGATGCACAGGGAATTGCTGTGCATTAAATAATTCCCGCTCTTAGAGCGCAAAAGCGCTAAAGAGATGAGAGAGAAAGCACAAGATACATATGAAGATTTAAAGATAAAACCAGAGGAGTTGCAAAGGTAGTGATCACAGGAGAAAGGTTTTGAAAAGGAGGTAGCTTTGGGTTTGAACCTTTGTAGGCAAGTTTTATTCCCACAAGTAAAGATGGAAATAAGGCCTGCAACATTCCAGGATATGAAAGGTATAAGCAGAGTCAAAGAGTAGGTACAGGACAACACGTCTCCCAGCTGAAATAACAGTACAGGTGAGGTATAATGCAGGTAAGAAAGTGAGACTGTAGAGGGCACAAGCGCAGGCAATGACATACTCCCATCTACAAGGAAACTTTCCAAACTATATCAGAAAAAGAAGATTATAGCTTATACTGGGACAAACAGCAAGAGTCAGGTCCAGTGGGAAGCCTCACTAAAACTGGAGACACTCACATGTTTTGATGGATTAGGCTGAACGCGAGCCTCAACGAGCAGCTGAGCAGAATTGGACTTGTATCTAACAAAAAGCAGAAATAAAGGGAATCAGAAACTGAAGATAAAAATTTTTTTATCTCTCAACAAAAACAGGATAGACAAACGTGCAGTGGTTCCACTGAAAGGCCTCTGTCTCCAATTATCTCCTCAAAAACCCAAGCTTCCTTGTACCTTAATACAAATTCCTTATTCACTTTCAGTTCTCAGTTCATATCAGACAATGAATAACTACGTTTAAGGGAATGAACTGTTAAGATAAATACTTTAACAGGGAATAATAGATCTACTTTAAATCTCTTTCTGGAAACACAGGCGAGTATGACTTCATTTAAATCAGAAGACACTGTAAAGTGAAAAGCCAAGCCATAAACTAGAAAGTATTTCAATACATATATAACTGACAAAGTATTAGTTCTCAGAATAAATCAGAACTCCTAAAAATCAATTTGAAAAGATAAAATCATTAAAAGTATGCAAAATCATACAACTTGAATGTAATAAATGCCACTGAATTATTCATTGTAGGAATTGGTACATGTTCTGATATATATTCTCTACAACAAAAAGTAATTTTTTTAAATGGGCATGGTAAGTATTTCACAAAGAAGGAAACAGAAGTAGTCATTAAATATATGAAAAGATGTTCAACCTCCTTAATAATCAAGGTCGGAAGGGATTAAAAAAAATAATCAAGGTCACTGAAATGAAAAACAATCTGATAACACTTTATACTCACCAGCTTGCAAATTTTAAATCTGAAAATATTACAAACATTCATACTAACTGGTGGGAGTGTTAAGCAGTATAATCATTCTGTAAAACAATCTGGCATTATCTAATAAAGCTGAAGATGCATGTAACCTATAGCTCAGCAATGTATTTCCTATATTTGATGTTAGAAAATTAGGAGTTTGTGATGTAGTGGATCTACTGCTATGGCTTTCTGTTGCTTAAAATGGGCCACTGTTTAGATAACTGCCTCAACTCTGACCTGCAAACACGTTAACCTGACTCAGATCTGTCTGATGCATCTGTGTATATCTTTAAGCTGTGTGAGCCTGAGATGGGGAACTAAATAGAAGAAATGCTTCCTCAGCAGGAGAGGCCATCCAAATGGCTGTAGTAGAGTGACTTGTTGATTTAGCCCAAGTTTGCTAGAGCAGAGTTGTCTAGATTGAGAAGCCCAGTGATATTTGGTCTGATTTGGGACTAAAGCTAGTTTAATTGGATGTACCTGACTTAGGACTACTATTCCACGAAACCAGAGCCAAAGGCCTTCACTCAAACTTGCTGGAAGACTGAGGAAATTGTATAGTTATTAAACAGTTATCTGTATATTGTTGCCAACCTGTAAAGCCTGTTAGTATTCTCTGGACTGAAGAGCTGTATGGTTACTGATTATATAACGTTACTTGTTGCTATCTTGAGCTGTGGCCTGTTGAGTTCCCTAATAAACCTCACAGCCTGAGTATGGTTCTACAAAGTCTGTGTGGTCAGTGAAATGAATTTTGGACCCAGATACTAGTAACACTGGTGTCTGAATTGGTGAAAAGTGGATGCAGGACACTGGGAGACCATGCCTGACCTTGTAGCTATCAGTTAGGTACTGTGGATGTTGTTGATGGGGACAGTTCCCCTTTCTGGAGTTAATAGAGGTCAGATTCTGCTTTCTTCACATTGTTTTTGCCCTTATAGAAGATTTCTACAAAAGTTATCAAAGCTGCATTATTTTAATAGCAAAAATAGAAAAACACCACAAATGTCCTTTGACAGGAAGATGGCATAGAAGTAGTCAATGATGCTAATTAAAAAATCTATAAAAAAGAAATCTCAAAAATACACAGCTATGATACCATGCTCTCCAAATTCTAAAAGCATGCAAAACTAAAAGCAATCTAAGACTACAAATAATACTGAGTTATCAATACATTAAAACAAAAACGAAAATTCTCATGTGGCATTGAAAGCACTTTATAAAGCCAAGGTGATATCAGGACTAAGGTACCAGGAGTCATAGTACAGAAGAATTATTATCTCCTTTATGTGACTTCTATACTCTACCTCAACAAAATATTTCCTTCAACTATTGACTCATTTTACTTCTAGTTCCTTCACTAGTATATATCCTTAGTATCTTCAGCAATCTACATTTCCTCAGTCCTTGAGGGTACCAAACGGAATAGTGAGAGATGCCCCATCACCAGAACCTACACAGTTCTAGAGTTTTTAGGTCAAAAACTCAAACTCATTGCCATCAAGTTAAAAATGACTCATAAATGGCCCTCCAGTGGGTTTTCTGAGGCTCGGTGTCACAGGCTGCCCACCTTTCTTCCACAAAGCAACTGGTATATTTTAACAGCCAACCTGTGGGTTAGCAGCCCAAGCTTCCTGCCTACTAGGCCACCAGAGCTCCCAAGCATTTTGGGTACCATTAAGAATTACATAGGCAGTGAATGTTCACCTCAAAGTCTATCTAAATATATTCAGTTCTTAAACAAAGAAAGTGACAGTGCAGTTTTTCCAATCAGAAATTCATTAGTCCCTTCCTAAATATGCTGACCTGCTCCAGCTCTCAACTGTGTCTGGCCTGAATAAGAAAAGGTGTGACTTTTTTGTATAAATAAAGACTCACAACAGCCTGAAAGGATAGATAAAAGTAGTGAGGTGAGACCAGTGGTTCTAATAAAGATTTTGTTTTCAGGGGTCATTTAACAATATCAAGTTGTTTTCTGGGTTTATTTTGGTATTGTCATTGACTGAAAGGGGTTTACTGTTGTTATTATTACCTGGCAGTACAAAAGCCAGGGATTTGTACAGAACAGTATCCATAACCAAGAATTACACAGTTCAAAAAATGTCAACAGCACAAAAACTGAGAAATTTTGGGCAAGAGCCATATGCTTCTGAGAGGAGTGTTGAAGTGTTGAGGGGTTCTTATGGGCTCTCCCTCCCTAAAGGCTACAAGTTGTTGCTGTTATGTACTATAGAGTTGGAATCAACTCATAGCTCACTCTCCAGGTTTACAGAGGCAATTAACTGCATGGGAGGAGACTGTCTTTCTCCTGAGGAGCAGCTGGTAGATTCAAAACTGCATGCCTTTGCGTGTGCAATGCAAGTCCTCACCACCAAGCCACCAGAGCTCCCTGAAAGAGGGAAACTTCTCATCTTGACAACTTCCAAGGGATTTAGATACTCTCAGGTCTGTGCCTCAAGTGGTCTGTTTCTACGAGATAGGAGGAGACACTTTAACAGCCTGTTTGCAGTAATGTTGGGGACAGTTTTTGAAGAAAAATATACAATAGGTGAAAATGGATTCTTCACCTGATGTATCCGAAAGAAGCTACTGAAGATGCTGTAAGAAGAGCAACTAACTAAATGTAACAATGGCAAAAAAGCAAAACTAACTTCACTATCCTAAAATAGGAGTTTGGAGAAAGTATGGAATTTTTTTTTTAATTTTTATTTTATTTTTAGTGTGTGTGTGTGTGTGTGTGTGTGTGTACCGTCAAATCAGATTTGACAGGTACAGGAGGAGATTGTTCCTCCTTCTCCAGCAAAGCATCTGGTGGATTTGAACTGCTCACTTCTCAGATTACAGTGCAGCTTCTTGCCACTAGGCCACCAGAGCTCACTAGTAAGGAATATTTTTGTGATGCAATATTGTGCCAGCATTAAAGCTAGTGTAGGAGAATATGCTAAAGACATAATCACAATATACTGCATTAAGGGGAGTATATGATAATTTCAAAAACATAAATTATTTGTTGTAAAGATATACTCCAAAGTGGAAAAATAAATAACTCCTGATGAGTGGGCAAAGAAAGCTAAGGGTGACATCATTTCCCCACCCCAAAACATCTTACCTGTCCAGTATTTCCGCAACTTGCCAGTGGAAATTAACTAATATGAGTTTAGCAACTGAATGGGATACCTAGAAGGAAAAAAAAAGTCAAATTATAACTACAGTTCCTTTCAGGATGCTTAATTTTTTTTTTAATGGAAATAAAGTTTATTAAGGGACAGAAATGGTTCAGGCCTGGGAAATGTTCATTGCCAGAGAGTAGAACGGCAGCTCTCAGAGTGTTCCACACTTCAAGAAAATTCATTTTATTTGATGCATAAAGAAAACTACCAGTCCAGAGCAGATAGTAACTCAATAATGTCAATGTAAATAACAAAGGTAGTGGCTCCCTACTATGAGAAGAGAACTCTACAGGAAGTCACTTTAGGGAGTGTATCTCTTCGTAGGCCTATTACTTGTAGAAAACATCCAGGATTGGACTTTGTACACAACCTCCGCAAAACAAAACCATCCTGTTTAAAAATTCTGAGTTTTCATCAGTAAATGAGTCTGAAAGCTTCTGGACAATCTTCCTAGCCCCTAATTTCTGTTTGGAAACATTTAAAGAAAATTGGTGATAGGTATCAAAGAGTTTCAAAAGGTACTCTGAACTAGCAATTCCATAAAAGCTCCCCCTAAGGAAATGTAAGCAGAAATGTGCACCATATTGTTGTTACTATTAATAGCAAAAATAAATAAGATAGAAATAACCTAAATTTTAACAAGATAAATATGTGACAGATTCATGCAACTGACTACTATTATGCAGTCCCTGAAGAGACAGACTACTGAAGTACATTTAGTGACAGAGAGAGAAATTCACGGTTTAATTTTAAATTAAAGAAGCAAGTTGTAACACAGCATGTATGAGAGTTCATATTATGGCCATAGGATTTTGTTAATAGGTGAAACAAAGGCGGTTTTAAAACAAAATATTCTAAGTGACAAGAATGAGGAATGTTCAGAAGAGGACTAAGATGTGCCTGAAGGACTGGATCAGGCATTCTGGAAAGAACATTGGGCAAGATGAAAGTACGCTGAATCAGAGAGGTAAGGGGAAAGTTTCAGGCCTACACAAACATGAAAACTGTGGTAGTAGACTCATTGGCGCTAGTATTTAAAATGAGCTACCGGTAGGGTAGTGCAAGCCTGGCCCAAAGTCAAGAACTACTTAAGGGGGAAGACACACAAGGCACCATATGTGATCTGTCTCTCCTTTGCTGAGTTCAAGTCACTCCTGGGAAAACACATGCACACTCCTTACTAAACAAGGACATAGCCTAGTGTACAACCAGTGAGTGTCTCGAAGGTGTAACTGGAAAAAACCAACAACTTGATAGGATATTCACTGGAGAAGGGTGTGGGGGTCCCAACTTCCCTTCCATATAAGTTAAGAGGCATTTAATCCATGCATATTGCCACAGTATTTTGTTGTTGAGGCTCACAGAGTTCAGAAGGGCCATAACAAAACTAATCATTCCTAATAGACCCATACCATATGATGAAAATGAACACAATTGTTTAGGATTCAGTAACTATATCCTTGCTTGCAGAAAGTGAAGATGATTTTATTATTTGCTGCAGAAGATGAAAGAGTATACCCTTCAATACTGTTTCTATCTCAACATCTAGAAAACAAAAATCTTCACCAAGGGACCAGTGATAGATGGAAAAAGACTTAAGTTACCAACAATTTAATTTTATTAGGATCCACAATCAACACTGATCATTAACAGTAGTAAAAAAAATAAATAAATCAAAAGATGTGTTGCAATGGGAAAATTTGCTATCAAAAACCTCTCTACAAAGTGCTAAGGAACAAAGATGTTAAAGATCAATGTGTGATGCACACGGACATTAAAAGTGGAACAATACAGAGAAGATTAGCATGGCCCTTGCGCAAGGATGACATGCAAATTCGTGAAACGTTCATATTTAAAAATAAAGATTGATCCAAGCCATGAGATTTTATTTTTAACTTGCTTCCTATGCATCTGAAAGGTGGACTATGAGTAAGGGTTACAAAAGAACTGAAGCCTTCCTTTGAAATGTAGTGTTGGCAAAGAGTACTGATTATCCCATGGACTGCCAAAAGAACAAGCAAAGGGGGGGGGATATATATGCGACTAGGCTGCTCCTTAGAGGCAAGGATAGTAAAACTTTGTCTCATGTACTTTGTCAAAGAGGGCCAGTTCCAATCATGCTGGGGAAAGTGGAAGCAGAGAAAGAGAGGAAGAATTTCAATATGAAGTACTGTCTTAGTGATTATAACAACAGGGTTAAGCATATCAGAAATCATTAGGATGGTGCAAGATAGAGCAAGGTTCAGAACTGCTATTCAGAATTGCTTTGAGTTGTGGTTAATCCAACAACCACAATGATTAAGGTTTGGATGTCTTTCACTGGAACCTTCCTCTACCTCTTACTGAGTAGACCCACACATACTTTCTGCCTAGCTTTTAAATATCTTACCATGCACTGGCCACCAAATTAAAACCAAATCCAATGCCATGGAGTTGAATATGACTCATAATGATGCTTTGGAAGAGAAGAGAGCTGTTCTACTGGGTTTCCAAGGTTATAATTTTAACAAAGTACAAAGCAGCTGATCTTTCAGTTAGTTAGTAGCTGAACCACTTTAACCACTTTGCACCAGGTTTCCCTCACTAGCTACCAGATTTTCACAACGGTACCAAGTACAGTAGTTGTGCAGAAGATGACTTTTAAGGTAAGGACACAAGTTGATCACTAAATACATGCTGATCATTAAAAGACATTACATATACAGAGAGTTATGGTGGCCTAGTGGCAAGAAGCTGTACTGTAATTCCAAAGCCACACGGTTCAAGGCCAGTGTGTGTGTGTGTGTGTGTGTGTGTGTGAGAGAGAGAGAGAGAGAGAGAGAGACACAGAGAGACAGAGAGAGAGCGCGCGAGAATTCAGCACGTTGCCGCACACTTTTTAAATTGATGACGGTGCTTAGAAACACATTTGCCGTCATTTGTGGCAATGTGTTAAAGACAAAAACCTGTTTCAGAATGCAAACAGGTATGTTCTCTCAGCAAAGAATTACATAAGTAATCACATCTTTAAAATTTCATTCTTACAGAGTTGCATAATATATTTGAATCAACACTTCCATAACTTGGGGAGAATCCTCTACTCTTTATTATCCTGCTGAAGAGAAAATCTTTCTGCTGAATCCAGAAGAACACGTTAGATTTTTTTTGATCAAGGAACTAACAACCTACCCATTGACTTATTTTTTAAAAAGTTCAAAACCAGGAAAATGAGTTCCAGGTAATAATCACTTGAGATAAACCTGAAGTTTTATTAGACAGATCAACATGCAATAGGAAGGTTAAAGAGTATATTTATGAATCCTTTTCCTATTTCTAGAAACAGTAACTGAAGAAAAAACTAGACATTAAAACCCAGGGAACATGTGCAAGAACTAAGATTATCTAGGTGATTACTCATGGACAAGGACAAAGTAGGGTCAGTACACTTGGGAATATCACTATCTAAACAGCAAACCAAAGCTGTTAGAATAAAACTCTGACAGATACATGTGTAACATAGAGGGATATTAACACAGACCAAATTTAAACAAGGAATCACAATAGTAGATATGTTTTCTTACATTAAAACAACAAATAACCGAATATGTGAAACACATCTTAAAGAATTTTACAAAGTTTAATGGATCTAACTGCCAAAATAAAAAAGAAAAATATCCATGGGTTATTTCTGACTTCAATTCTGCTTGGTTCATGATTTGATAAGATGTTGCTTTCAAATGCTGAATTTCAATTTATGTAGAATTGTTGAGAATGGATACAATGAAGTATTTTATACATCTATCAGGGAATACAAATTCTCTTTTTGCCAAATTCAATTAACATTTTTCGTGCTTTGTCTTGCTGACAGAACCTGACAGTTCTCTTCTGCCTCTGTGAAAGATTTCTCACAGCACCTTCTCAGATATACCAATACCCTCACAAATCCACTGCTTTCAAGTCGATTTGCTTCCCAGTGATCCAACAAGACAGAAGAGAACAGCCCAATAGAGTTTCCAAGGTTGTAATCTTTACAGAAGCAGACTGTCACATCATTTTCCTGTGAAGTGGCTAGTGAGTTCAAACCCCTCGTTTGTGGCTAGAAACCAAGCACTTAACCACTATTAACTAGCAGGGCTACTTGAGTACAGCTTCAGAGGTAAAAGAAAGACTATCACTGTAAATCTTAGAGATAAAAGAAAACAGATTATAAATAATCCAGTAAATCTGATTATCTCAGATGACATCAACAAAATTCTTTTAAAAACCGCTAAGAAAAACTGAATAGCTCTACACTTATTTCAAAAATCTACTGCCATCAAGTAATTTTTGATCCTATGAACAGAGTAGAAATGCTCCCTATGTTTTCCAAAGCTGTGAATCTTTATGGAAGCAGATTTGCCTCAACTGTCTAGGAGAGCAGCTGGTGGGCTTAAACTACCTTTCTGATTAGCCGCTTAGAGCTTACCTACCAAGTCATCAGCTACAGAGACATTCAATTTACAGTCCAGAACTCTCCAAAATAATCTCTACTTTACCTCTGACATTTTATTCTGTTGTTCCATGTTCTTGATTTCTAAAAAGAAAACTATATGGCAGCAGCCAAGATTGACAAGAAGTGGGCTGACAGTAACTTTAACCATTTAAGCACAGCAGAGATTGTGAAGATGGCACAGGATCAGGCAGGGTTATCCTTCTGTTTACAGAGAGTCACTATGAGTCAGAGCCCAATTGATGGCACCTAACAACAGGTGTTCTGATGTTGTTCTTTACAAAAATCATAGCCCTGTCAATATATATAATCTCACATCATCAAAGAATGGATAAAGACCCTAGTACACAAATAACTAAAAATGAAGAAATTCAGAACTTGACTATCACAGAAGAAACAGCCACTCCAATGCTGTCACAGCAATTTTTAACAATATGGAGTTTATAAAAGAGTAATATGACTGTTTCTTGAACTTCAGGAGAAACCACATCAGAATATTAGCAAAAAAAAGTATTGGATGTTACTGGCACCCATGATAT